TCTGCAACAACGGCGAGCTGCAATTCTGGCTTGGACCGACAGTGTTGGTACATCTGACGGCTGTCTTACGCATTTTTACTGTGTCGTGTGAAAACTTCACGAGTTCGCTGGAAGGGACAAGTTTTTCACTAGTTTTTCACTATGGATTCAGGGACATTTTGTGTGATTTTCCCTGGCACAGGAACGGAGAAGCTCTGGGGCGACTATGTTGCAGCGATGTTGGTACCTCGACAGCTGGTAAATTAAACAATGCAATCAAACAAAGATAATTAAGATAAAAGCAAGGGTCTTCGTATAAACATTTTCTTACCGAGCAATGCAATCAGAAACGGCATGACCGACAAAGCCATAGCTTTATCCTTTTCAGAAACGCTTCTGCAAATAAAACAAATGTTCAGTTAAAGAGAAAGCATATTTTTTTAAACAAAGTTGTTTGGGATTTTTGGAAAATGATTGCTTTCATGCAGAAATGTAACTGTAGTGGCAGAGTGGTTGGAAACCTGGGACTTTATTTATTAGTAGTTAGTCGAGGTTTGAACACTACTGCAGACGGGGTCGTCTCCGAACTGCCCCGTGGCTGTGCCAATGGCGCAATGGGATATCATCCAGGTTCGAATCTTTGTTAAGGTTATACATTGGGTTTTTTTTTTCTTTTTCTGTCAGGGGCAAAAATAAACATCATAACCTGCACAGTTTGTGGCGACTGCACTAGCTATGCATCCTTTAATCCCTCAGACTCAAGACCACACCCATCCAACCTTCAGTAAGTCCTACGCTGCCATAGAATGTAAATAGTACACTTTATACTATCAGGCTAGTTAGTGGCAATCGTCTGGAAATGAACCAGTTAAAAAAAAAACATATGTGAAACACTGACTGACTGACTGACTTTCTACCCCACCAGCGACAAACACCCGATGACACAAAGTGCCACCATGCAGATGAGGATCACCGTGGAGAGGTCACAGAAACTGCGTTCAGACAATTGGCCATATTGATGGCCTGCCTATATTGCGGCCCCTGGCAAAAGCCAGAGTGGGGCTTCAAATAACAAAACGTTACGTCCTAAAAAGGTCGTAAGGAATCAACTGTAGAAAACTACTGTGAAACACCAAAGTCCGTTTGCTGTCGTTGAGAAAACAGCATTTAGAGATTGTTGAACAAGAAAAGAAGACGACAGTATGACAATTATAGCTAAAGGTAAAGAGGAGGCCGTGACTTTGTAAAGGGGATACAAGACCCCACTTAATCATGTATAGACATTTTCCTTTTTAAAGTACTTGTTTATACATTTCCTATTATTCAAGAATATTATTAGATTTATCACAACAGAGCGGATTTTCTGGCTACAAAAGTGAAAGCTACGGGAACACTCGTACTGGACAAGGGAGATAATCTGAAGTCCATAGATGAAAGATGAAAGAATGTTGACAGAAGACGCCAGATTAGGTGAAATAACACGGGCAAGAATGTGTGAACGATGAATGAAGTGTGGATCCGGCAAGGAGGGACGGATGGCAGAAGAGAACGACGTGTGTATAGTCACTGAGCTACGGGAACGGTTATTATCTACACCTTACGTCATTTGCTGCGGGAGACAGAGAATCTTTGGGGATGCCCAGTGTGCTATGATGTCAATTCTTAAATAATTAAATCAGTAAATATTTGACACACAGTACATTAAATAATGTCGGCTCTGTGGCTAAGTCGATGCGAACGCTTTGTAATATCGGGATGCCGGGTTCGATCCCAGCGGCGGGCCATGCGTCTTGCGTGGGTTTCGACAGTGGTATCAAGAAAGCCGACCGTCCAGAGGCAATGACAAACTATTGGACGTAAATTTGCCTAGAAAAACCACACAACAGCCAGGGGTTGTTGGGGTTGGTTCTGCAACGTCCTGTAAAGGATGTAAAGGATACGCAACTAACATAAAATAATAATAATAATAATATTATTAATAATAATAGTAAAGGACACCTTTCTACGCCTTCAGGCGTATTGGGCATATAGGGCTAGACCTACATTTTATAGACCATTCGGCACTCGTCGGGTGTAGTGATCAGCATCACACCGACCGCCTTTACTTCCTAGGACTTTACCCAGTATCCATTTAGGCTGGGCTGACCTGACAGCGTAGGTCATTGTTGAAAAAACAAATGTATGGCTCCGTCAGGACCCGAACTCACAACCTTCAAGTCCACAGGCGATCGTCTACCCGCTACACCACAGCGGCTCACAAAAAAATAAATAACAATGTGTTAGTATACGACGCCTGAGTTCTCTACTGCAACAGCTAGCTGTTGGCATATTTCATAGTGGGGCTTCAATCTTTTTTTAACGGTGTGAATCTCGTACCACTGTCTGAAAGCCACCAGAAGACATTTTAAGGTCTCAGAAGTGGTCAAAGCTTCAGGTCGCAGCCTTGAGGAGACTTACACAAATGGCAGACAGACAGACAGACAGACAGGCAGGCAGACAGACAAACAAACAGACAGACAGACAGACAGACAGACAGACAGACAGGCAGGCAAGCAGGCAGGCAGGCAGGCAGGCAGACAGACAGACAGACAGACAGACAGACAGACAGACAGACAGACAGACAGACAGACAGGCAACGTTGGTTCTGTGATAATATTGAACGTAAAGACTGTAGATCTTCTTCTTCGCGTTCAGCGGCTGCAAACTCTGGTGAAAGTTGAGGTTGTTCATTCACTTCTGGACTTTAGTCCTGTTCTAGAACTTGCGCATCTGTTTTACAAATCAGGTTTACTTGTATGCAGATTATTGGCTGCTTGCCTCAAAGGTACATGCACTCTGTCGTCAAAGGAAACACCCATGATTAGTGGACTCTTACGACATGCTTGTTAGAAAGGCAGTGGGTCTATTTTTTCCCCAGCAATGACCGACACAATCATTTCTGTCTTACCGGACCGACACAATCATCTCTGTCTTACCAGACCTACACAATCATTTATGTCTTACCGGACCGACACAATCATTTCTGTCTTACCGGATCGACACAATCATTTCTCTTACCGCATCGACACAATCATTTCTGTCTTACCGGATCGACACAATCATCTCTGTCTTACCGGTTCGACACAATCATTTCTGTCTTACCGGATCGACACAATCATCTCTGTCTTACCGGACCGACACAATCATTTCTGTCTTACCGGATCGACACAATCATTTCTGTCTTACCGGATCGACACAATCATTTCTATCTTACCGGATCGACACAATCATTTCTGTCTTACCGGATCGACACAATCATCTCTGTCTTACCGGATCGACACAATCATTTCTGTCTTACCGGATCGACACAATCATTTCTGTCTTACTGGATCGACACAATCCTCTCTGTCTTACCGGATCGACACAATCATTTCTGTCTTACCGGATCGACACAATCATTTCTGTCTTACCGGATCGACACAATCATTTCTGTCTTACTGGATCGACACAATCATCTCTGTCTTACCGGATCGACACAATCATTTCTGTTTTACCGGATCGACACAATCATCTCTGTCTTACCGGATCGACACAAAGATCTCTGTCTTACCGGATGGACACAATCATCCCTGTTTTTCCAGGATCGACACAATCAATTTTGTCTTACCTGATCACCACAATCGTCTTGGGGATGATGGTCAGTGTGTTGGTCAGCAAACGGATGCCCATCAACACCGCGTAAATATACAGGTCTGAACAGGTGTAGTCGCAGGTACCGCTTCTAGCACTGCCACCAGGGATACAGGAGCAGTTCTGGTACACCTGGCTCAACCACAAATATATACATCGTTAACTGAAGTCTTTGTTGCAGAATGTGAAGCAAAGCGGCTCAACCAAATATATACATCGTTAACCCAAGTCATTGTTACAGAATGTGAAGCATTTTAAACCCACAACATTAGCATACCTAAGCAGACAGAACAGAACAATCCCAACCCAGTAAGAGTATTAAATCTTTATACTGTGTGAATGTTTAACCTTGTTCCTAATTCGGCTACTGGCTTTAGTTATAAAATAAGATGTAAAAGTCTCTTAAATATTAATTTATTTAAGGGTTGAAACATATGTTTTTACTGTAAAAATTGTTAAGCTGTTACCCTCTGGGTCTGTAGAATTAAAATCTCAATGATGAGAATCAAACAGGTACAAACCTCGCACACTATGTTAAATCGTATAGCCATAAAGCACAGTTATACTGGGGCAGTATGAATCTGATACGAAGTAACCTGTAGGACAATGTGACTGGGTATGATACTTGGGTTGCAATCACTGAATTTCTAAGCTGTGAAATTGTGTATCTAAACATAACCGAACTGAATAGTTTTGAAGGCTCTGGCACATAACGCCGCAATTATACGTACCCCATGCTCCGTCTGGAGACAGCCGGCGTGACAAGGAGAGTAGTAGGTCCTGCCATCGTCTCCACAGATGGGGAAGTAACTGTTGTCCCTGCAGTTACATCCCCTGTTGCAGCTGCTCTCCTCACTGACCCATGTGTGGTCACGTGGATCAACACAAAGACGAACACAAATACACAACATTAGAAGCAAATATGTCGGGATTGAGGTGTGTCTATGTATGTGTATGTGTGTATGTGTGTGTGAATGTGTATGTGAATGTGTATGTGTGTGTGTATGTGAGAGAGAACTTATTTTATTTCTGCAGTAACTAGCAGTTTTTCAGGAGGCTCTCTAAAGATGTTACTATGCAATATTTAAAGTCAAAAGTTCTGACAATGCTTTAGATAAGTTAAATCTTTTGCAGACAATGTTAATAAAAGAGTCCTTACATACGTCCCAAGATGGGGAAGAAATTTTTCGTTATTTTAAAGCTTCATCCTGACTGTAGTCGGGGGTGCTAACATAACCCAACCTATGAGCTGAATGCGGATTTCTGGGACTTGTGCCCAGGTGATCTTCATTTGAATGGTGACACTTTGTGTCACCAGATGTACGGTCCGGGTGGGTTTAAGCAACAACAATAAACAATCGTGGCTCTCAACAGGTCACCTCTGATTGGTCCCTATTAGCAACGAATATATTACGCATGTGCAAAGCATCGAACCACTTCAGCTGTCTCAATGGGAAATGACATCAAGCTACTTAATGTGTACAAAGGCCCGACGAATGCATTACCAGGTAAGTGGACGACATGAAACGTTCTGATTTCTTGTCTCCATTTTAAAACTTTTCAAAGTTGAAAAAAAAAAAATTGTCTTTCAATTGTTAAATTGGTAAACTTCTTAAAACTTATAAATTGTGAAGTTTTTTTTTGGGTTAAGTTGAGTTTTGAACTTAAAACTTTTTGAGGGTTGAAATTTAAAATACACTATTCCAACTAAAAAAAAAACTGTTTACTTTTTAAATATTTGAACTTTGTTAACATTTCACCTCTTTTAAACTTTTAATTTAACTCTTTAAACATTACCTAACAATATGTAATCAATATCTAAGACGACTAATATACAATATCTAAACCATTAGAGCTGTTAAACTTACTTCAATGTGTCTGGTACAACCTTATGTACATAATAAAACAACACCACCCCCTCTTTAATTAGAAAAAAATACACCTTATCTAACCTCTCCATATACCGCCATCTTGGAATGAAACCACCACCTTCATCATTCTGAATCACCACCAAGGCTGAAACCGCCACCAAGGTTGACACCGCCACCAATGCTGAAACCGCCACCAAGGCTGAAACCACCACCAAGGCTGAAATAGCCACCAAGGCTGAAACCGCCATCAAGGCTAAAACTGCCACCAAGGCTGAAACCGCCACCAAGGCTGAAACCGCCACCAAGGCTGAAACCGCCACTAAGGCTATAACCGCCACCAAGGCTGAAACCACCACCAAGGCTGAAACCACCACCAAGGCTGAAACCGCCACCAAGGCTGAAACCACCACCAAGGCTGAAACCGATACCAAGGCTAAAACCGCCACCAAGGCTGAAACCGATACCAAGGCTAAAACCACCACCAAGGTTGAAACCACCACCAAGGCTGAAACCGCCACCAATAGATTTTGTGAAGGCTGGGTTTGATTGAAAAAAACAACATTTGGCCATAGTAAACCGCCTCAAGGACTGGAAGCCATCATCAGCCTTGTCAAAGGAGTTATATAAAAAGTCATAAACTTCAGAGGGAGCCCTTTGAATTATAAACAAACCTTTATTTTCGACCATCCTCAGCACACCATCCACCATCCTGACCTATTTACATTTAAACACAATATGTCCGACAGGGAGCGACAGTAGTCACCGACTGTCCCGGTCTAACCGTCAGTTTACAACATGAAATGACGCCATTTTGGTCCCGAGTCGCCAAAATCATAAACAACCACCATAAAACCATCGAGCTGTCCGAAAAGAAAAGAAACCCACCGAGTGGCCACCAAAATAATCCTTGACGCAACGAAAATGACAGTTGTCCACTCTTCGGTTCTATTGTTGACCCAGTCGCTGGAATAATCCAGAAATGCGACGGATTATGCACACTTTTTACTACTGGTAACTCACCTTGGCTGGTTGTGAACGGTCGCTTGCTCACATCCAAAGATAAACCCAAGGAGTTGAGCAAGCAGACAAACGGAAATGGCCACCAAGATGAAGTAGATGGCTGTCATGGCGGTCATCCTCAGACGTCTGGAGAAGTACCCGCCCAGGAACGACCCAGCACAGGCGGTACATAGAGTCTGTACGGCTGCAGGTTTAACAACAAGTGGTTGAATAAACCTTCTGAATCAATCATCACTATCATAACCTTCCACTTCTGCCGGCAACTGTCGCATAAAGGAATAACTGGTTTGAAAACCAAGTTCTAAGGACTCCTTTCAACGCCTTCTGGCATACTGGGCATATAGGGCTAGGCCTATATTTTATAGACCAATCAGAACTTGGTGGGTGATGTAGTCAACATTACATCAGTCACCGTTACTTCTTCCCAGGACTCTACCTTGTACCCATTTAAGGCTAAGTCGACCCGGGAAGCCAAAGTCATTTTTGAAATCAAACGTCCGGCTTCGTTAGGACCTGAAACCAGATTGACGATTCCGCAGACGAGCTTCTAGTCAAGTTACTATTTTAAATTGCAATGTTAGTTAACTGGAGAATCAATATACAGAATATGTATTTATGTGCCTTATCTGTAATGAAGGTCTGGCTACAGTGTCCCTAAATTTGTTGCCAACAATAACTACCAGAGCCGGCGCTACATGTGAACAGATCTGATGAGAAAGCATGAGGTCGCCCTAGGAGAAGATGGACTGATGATATCAAAGACTTCTACACCTGCATTTAATGACAACAGCCGTTGCTGTCCATCAAGAAATGGATCACAAAGGGGTCCTCGTCACATAGCCTGATGACAGAAATGAACATTGCCGACGATGATGATAAATGTGTATTTCTTTTTGCGCTCAATCTTGTTCTGGTATCCACTGTTTTGTTTTTATTTTTTAGTTGCAGTCTCAGTGTTGATAAACCTGATTCAATAGCATCTTTCTCTTCTTCTTTTGTCCTCAGCTTATGACGTTGAGCGTCGCAGAGAGGAGTTAGATGTCGTTTCCTTTCCTCTGCCAGTTGTGTAGTTTGTGTTCATGTCATACTACGTTTTTGTAGTGTCCCTGTTACTTCCTCCACCCATCTCTTTCTTGGTCTGCCTCTTGTCCTGTAACATGCTGTTTTCATATAGTACGCTTTAGCTACTGGCTACTCGATGACCAAACCATTCGATTCTTTGACGTTCTATGAAATGGTTTTCATACCATAGTTCTTAGTTGTTCACCAAAAAATGACTATTGACTCCTTGGGACGCGATAGTGATCAAGATAACTATTCTAGATTTGTTCTAGGCATTTTTCCTAGAACTTGTGTTGATAAACCCGAATCTTTAACGTCGATGTTTGTTGATCAGCGACTTTTTGGGACAGGACAGTTATCAAGTAAAGGACCCATCCCACGGCTTTAGGCCGATTGGGCACATAGGGCTAGTCCTATATTGTTTATACCAGTCGGCACTCAGTGCGTGATGTGGTAAATATCAACCGTTCGCATTTATTTCCCAGGACTTTACCTGGTACTAATTTAAGGCGGAGTCGACTTGGCAGCAATGGTCCTTTTCTTGTTAGAAAAAAGTCTTACTTCATGCTGATTTGAACCGACGACCTTCGGATCCAGAAGCAAGCGTCTAGCAGCTACACCACAGCGGCTGCACATCGTTATCAAGCAAATTATCTAATTCTATGTTTATTGGCCACTCGTCTGACCACTCTTGTGTATGCCTGTATGACATGGTTGGTCTACAGCCGATTTACGAGATGACTTCATTGCATGTGTCAAGTTCGCCAAGACGATTTCCACCAGAAGCCAATAAATGTGACAAGCCCTCTCAAAACTTAATTGTGTTTCAAAAAGTAGAAAAAAAAAAAAAATAGGCGTATAGGGCATATAGGGCTAGAACTATATTTTGTAGAGCAATCGACACAAGACGGGGGATGTAGTCAGCATTACGCTGGTCGCCGAGACTTTAATCGTGTTAGTTGCTCACTATTACTGCCGCAGAAAGTGGTCACAATCACACTAATCCGTGTCGCCTCCTACGACATGCATAATTGGCTGCAGTGATAGCATTTAGTCGTTTCTTTCCTTGTGGTAACACGCTGATAAATTATGTTGGCTACATAAATCTTTGCCACCACCACCTGGACGGCGGAAGTGGTAATCACAGTTGGTGTTGACAGTTTGGCCGACGTGTCCAGACTTGCCAGTTTGGCCGACAAGTCCAGACTCGCCAGTTTGGCTGACGTGTCCAGACTTGCCAGTTTGGCTGACGTGTCCAGACTCGCCAGTTTGGCTGACGTGTCCAGACTTGCCAGTTCACACCCCAGTTTCATAAACATACTGTCTTACCCATGACGAAGTTGGCATTGTGAGCCGGCAGGTGAAACATGCTCTCCAGATACTTGGGGGAGAAAGCGGCGGCTCCAGCCAGGGAGAAGATGGTGCAACAAGAAGCCATTGTCAGGCAGACGAACACAGGATTGGTCAGCAGTCGGTACATGCTGGCCAGAAATTCTGGGAATGTAGAATAAGAACACTCATGAAGAATGTTCTATCGTTTAGCTTTGAGTTGTAGTGTCACTATGTGGGTTCCAGGGCCCCATCTTGAGGAAAAGTAAATAAACCCAATAACCCCTCCCCCACAAGCATGTCGTGAAAGCCACTAATTAGACAGTACACTAGAAAGTCGAAGCGCATCTGTCTGAGAGGTAAGGAACCAACAGTGTGGATACTAATACGCCAGATCTGTACAGTGGACGTACATACGAAACTCCACTTTTAGAGCACGAATAAAATCCAAAAGTGGACGAACAGCTAGAACTTTCTGAGGAAATTGAAATCAGAGACTATACAAAGAAGAAGAAGAAGAAGACGAAGAAGAAGAAGAAGAAGAAGAAGAAGAAGAAGAAGAAGAAGAAGAAGAAGAAGAAGAAGAAGAAGAAGAAGAAGAAGAAGAAGAAGAAGAAGAAGAAAAGAAGAAGAAGAAGAAGAAGAAGTAGTAGTAGTGGGAGAAAAATTAGTAGTAGTGGAAGAAGAAGTAATAGTAGTGGTAGAAGAAGTAGTAGTAGTGGAAGAAGAAGAAGAAGAAGAAGAAGAAGAAGAAGAACACTGTTTAAATTTTAAGGGGTCATAAATAATGAGTGCAATGCAATCAACAGTTTCTTGTACAATTTGTAGGATTAGAACAACAACACCGAAACGTCTCCGTGGCCAAGTCGTCAAGCCGTTGACCTCGAGCCGTTGACCTCAAGCCGTTGACCTCGAGCCGTTGACCTCGAAGGTCGTTAGTTCCTTTCCTGTACCCGGCGTTCAGTTCACGAGTTTTTTTTTTTTAGCAAGACCATTGCTGCTCGCCGCTGGAGCTACAAAGTTCTTTATTTGTGCGACGCTCTCGGCAGGTGGTATCTGCCCTACAGAGAGACACGCGGAACATTATGCAATAGAACTGTGTGCAATGAAGTTGATTCTCTGGACTTTTAACTTCTTTAACACGGGAAGCAGTACTCCAATCATTGACTCTATGCCAACAAACCTTTCTGATGATCTACTTCCCCCCATAGATCTTGCATCTTCAGTCATTTGTTTTGTACTTCTTTTACGGCAGTGCTCCTGAAATTTTGAAAACCAGAGACTCAAAACAGTGAATTGCTTTGATAAAAGAGAATATTTCCTTACATATAACTCCCTATCTTGAAGTACACAAGTTATGCAACAAAGCTGTCTAGTTTTTTTTTCTTAAATTTTTGTTTCGTATGTTTTTGGATTCTTTGGTTGGTTTTAGGCAGGTGAGTTAATATTTTTCTGAAAGCCATAGACAGAAACAATACTGCAAGAAATCTTGGGATGATTTATCTACATACCACCTACCTCTGGAGTGCCTCCATACGAACTTGAGTTTACTTCTGAGGGATGCTGTGTAGTTCTTTCTAGGATCGACAGGTGCAGCTTTCTTTACGGACAGGTGGCTAAATGGCAGCTTGTTGGTTCTGCAAGGAAGATATATGCAGTGTCTATGTCTATGCAGTGTCTATGTCTATGCAGTGTCTATGTCTATGCAGTGTCTATGTCTATGCAGTGGTGTAGCACGGTCAGGGGGTACCCTGTGCGGAGTATTTGCTGTCATCCTCCAATATACACCCACATACTGATAACTGAGCTGCAGTTGCAATGGACTGGCATACCTTTGTACTTTGCTGATGACGTCTTGGTATAATGGTATGAATGAGATCATCAAGCGGTTGTCCATTCACTGCAGAGTGAACTTGTTCGCGTAGTGTGAAGATTCTAACGCACACGTCAACCCTCCAGTCTCAGTCTCACCTTCTTCTGTGTCATCACGCTTGACAGGAGTTGTCGGGAGTAAAATCCCGTTGCTGTCAACGCCGAGGTCTGCGCGCCTATCAGCGACAAGTCAGATGAGACAGGCTTGTTGATCTTCACAGACGGGTGCGTTATACGAGGACATAAAAGTGCATGGGCAATTACAGCTCACTCTTCAGGCAGAAAAGTTCAAGAAGCCAGCGGTGCCTTCTCCATGACTACTACCAGCACGACAATGGAAGTGATGACGGTCACAGAAGCTTTTTTTTTTGGCTAGAATCACAGGACTATTCCCGACTGTATGTTTTAAGTGATTCTTTGAGCATGATCCGGCGGGTCGATGGCAGGTTCTTTACGCAGGAAGCGGATTAAGTCATTGCAAAACTCTCCTGTGTGTACTGTTACTTTAATATGTATCCTAGGGCGTACAGGTGTTGTTGGCAACGAAAAAGCTAATAGACTGGCGGGTTCCGCATTAATTGCAGATAGCAGGCCCATGAATCACGCAGACATTTTCAATGCTGTTTCAGAGATAGGACGTTCCAAGGATTTTGGAAGCAATTTGTCCACATCACTGCTAAGAATTCGAGAATTGCGAGTAAAGATCGGCACAGCCAAGCAGGAGAAACACAGCGGACGAGCACGAAGTCTTGTCAACCAGTAAAGGACAGGTACTATTAACCGCGCGACGCCGATGAATATGTTGAAGGATGAATCTGAGCATCTTTAGATGTATCCAAAGTGCCGTGAAAATAATCCAATTCACACGCACAAACATATTCAGACATAAGTTTTTTTAAATGTTGAAAATACACACGTTGTCACTCATCTTTTTCTCCCAATGATGGTAGCCCTTTACCACCACCCCCCCCCCCGCCCACCTCACCTTGCTACGTCTCTGAGTCTATGGACAAACACATTTAGCAAGCCAATAAATCTTCAATGTCCTGTACTGATGTTCGGAGAGATCTGCCTCTGCTTTGGTTTTCAGAAATTGTAGCTTGCATTACCCTGCTTTCTAAACCAGGAGCTAGTTAAATTTCTAACTTGTGTCTTCTTCTTTTCTCCAAATCCGGTTCTGCTTTTCAGCGTCCCATTTTGAAGAGACTCGTGGTTCAAGTCTTGGTGCAAGCTACGTAGAGACTGACATTCATGATCTCGGACAATTCCATCTTTCCATGGCTTGCGCCAGAAACCTTGAGCTCGTGTGTTTAAATGACAGGGTTCTTTGTGTTGCAATTCCTTGTGGTAGTCTGGACACATGTCCGAACCATTTGATCTGTTGTCTCCTGATGTAGTTTAACATTAGTTCCGTCCCAGTATGCTTTTTGGTATCATTTCTGATGTAGTCTCTTCTTGTTATATTTAGGATTCATCATTTCATCTTTTTATGTTTCTTTTGTTGTTAACTGCCGCGTTTAGCACTACTAGCACATACTGGTAAAAAAAATCTTCCAATTAATGTTTCTTGTTCTCATATGCTATTCGTTAACTATATCTAAATCCCGCTGGAAAAACCCGGTAACAAAAAAACAACAGCAACAACAAAAACATTTTTTATTTTTTTTACCCTGCTGTTGTCTCATCGTCTGCATGCGTGACCTTGGCCTTGTTTCTTGGTAGTCTTCGCGGGAAACAGAAAAGAGGAACCGCCACCACCAGAGACATCACTCCAAAGACCACATAACCCAGCCACCAGGCTCCGATCCATTTGGGATGACGTGGCGTTAATTTTGTTGCTGGAAATATATTCACACGTCTTAACATAATACTACCCCTTAACAGTTTCCAAATTTGAAGTGCTAACGATATAGAGACACACACACAACACGCACTCACACGCACGCACACAAACACATACACAAACAGGTAGATAGATAGATAGATAGATAGATAGATAGATAGATAGATAGATAGATAGATAGATAGATAGATAGATAGATAGATAGATAGATAGATAGATAGATAGATAGATAGATAGATAGATAGATAGATAGATAGATAGATAGATAGATAGAGATAGATTAGATAGATTGATAGATAGATAGATAGATAGATAGATAGATAGATAGATAGATAGATAGATAGATAGATAGATAGATAGATAGATAGATAGATAGATAGATAGATAGATAGATAGATAGATAGATAGATAGATAGATAGATAGATAGATAGATCGATAGATAGATAGATAGATAGATAGATAGATAGATAGATAGATAGATAGATAGATAGATAGATAGATAGATAGATAGATAGATAGATAGATAGATAGATAGATAGATAGATAGATAGATAGATAGATAGATAGATAGATAGATAGATAGATAGATAGATAGATAGATAGATAGATAGATAGATAGATAGATAGATAGATAGATAGATAGATAGGGAAAGACAGATAGACTCACAAAAAGGGGCATTTTTGGACACAAAACTTTAATGGCGTATCCTTTACACAATAGCTGTTCAACATCCGTGGACCATCAAAAGAGACTAAATTGTCTGACAGCTAGCCAAACACAGAAACATAAAACAAAGGTCCTTTATCTATTAAATCCAATGTAATCAAATTACAATTTCCATTTAATGCGATGTTTACTGCTGCACTGGTATTAGAACATCTGATCCATGTGGCTGGAGCATTGTTTCTGATAGATAAAGCGTAATAAGTTGCATTCGATTTATCTCTGTGTTTTTTTTTTTTTACTGATATGGCTAAGGGGAAAAAAAAATTACACAAACAGGATGTCAAAATAGTTTTCATTTGAGGTAAGTCGAGTTAACAAAAAAAAAAGTTATTCTCCCGTGACGTCATGTAGCGCAGAGGTTCTTAAACTTCCCAACGCCGCGACCCTTTAATAGAGTTCCTCATGTTGTATCGACCCTTTAATGGAGTTCCTCATGTTGTATCGACCCTTTAATAGAGTTCCTCATGTTGTATCGACCCTTTAATGGAGTTCCTCATGTTGTGGCGACCCTTTAATAGAGTTCCTCATGTTGTGGCGACCCTTTAATACAGTTCCTCATGTTGTGGCGACCCTTTAATACAGTTCCTCATCTTGTGGCGACCCGCAGCTATAAAATTATTTTCATTGCTACTTCATAACTTCAGTGAATGTGTGTTTTCCGATTGTTTTAGGTGACCCCCGTGAAAGGGTAGTTCGACCCTCAAAAGGGTTGCCAGCCACAGGTTGAAAACCGCTGATCTACGGAACTTTTTAAACACTACCAATGTAGATACCTTTCTTGACTTGCTATTTGTTTTTAATGGGGTTGTAATTGCGCATCGTCGCAAGTCGCATACGTCGCAAGTCGAGGAGAAGGCGTGTATTTAATATTATGTATTGAAAATAGAGAGTGCTTCATTTCTGTACCGAAGATACACCAGCCGCCATTGTTTCCAGAGGATTCAGGAAACAACCACAGCAGGGATGACCAGGGCAACAAGAGAATGAAGACAAAATGGCTGACTTGCCTTCTAAGGTGACGTACATCCGGGAGAAGACTCCGCCCATCAGGTAAGCAACCGCGGGTCCCAAAAGTGTCGTGGCCATAACGATCCCTTGGGGTACCCAAAAAAAAAAACTATTATCACAATCATTGTTCAGTGTGTATAGGTGTGTGTGTGTGTGTGTGTGTGTGTGTGTGGGGGGGGGGGTTGATATAAGGAGGACTCAAGCATAAAAAGGCGATAAAGCTAGAAATGATGAGGTCAGAAATCAGGTTTAACAAAAGACAATGCCAGGACAATAATCTTTGAAACATAAAACAGCTGGGACAGTCACTGTAGCAGAGGACAGTATCCTGTGATGGCAAAGTTAGCAGCGTATTCTGCGATAGAAATAATGCTAGAATAGTATTCTGGAAGAGATGTAGTGAAGGACAGTATCCTGCGATATAAATAATTTTAGGACAGTATCATGAGATATAAATAATGTTAGGACAGTATCCTTAGATAGAAACAGTGTTAGGACAGTGTCCTGTTACAGACATAATGTAGGACAGTATTATGGGATATAGATAATGGTAGGAGAGTATCCTGGGAGGGAAATAATGCTAGGACAGCATACTTTTATAGATATAATGTAGGACATTATTATGGGACATAGATAATAAGACAGTCATCATCATCATCAGGTGCCTTGCCGACTGGCATGGGCGATCATGCCTCTCCATAATCCACGATCTCTTGCAGCATGTATCAGCTCGTGTGCCGACACACCGCCATGCCATGCAACAAGACTTTCCAGAATCTTCTCTCGTTGTCTTTCTCTATCCCTCCTTCCACAGATCTTTCCAGTGGTCACAACATGTTCTATTTTCCCCCTTCTCATAACATGGCCTAAAAATAATGACTGTCTCCTTTTGATGTCTGTGATAAGTTGTCTTCGGGCTCCCACCTCTTTCAAAACCTCTTGGTTGCTCTTTTTGGCTATCCAAATGTATTCTAAGCATTCTTCTGTAAAACCACATCTCTGATGCCTCAAGAAATTGTTTGGCCTGCCTACCGATTGTCCAGGATTCACAGATGAGGACAGTATCCCTGGATAAATACAATGTAGAACAGTATCAAGGGATAGATATAATGTTCGGACAGTATCCTAGGATATAAATTATGTTAGGACAATATCCTGGAATGTAAATAATATTAGGACAGTATCCCAGGATAGATATAATGAAGGACATATTCCTTGGATATAAATATTATTAGAACAGTATCCCAGGATAGATATAATGTAGGGCATATTCCTTGGATATAAGTAAAATTAGGACAGTCTCCTAGGTTTAAAATAATGTTAGGACAGTTTCCTACGATATAAATAATATTAGGAAACATGGGATTATGATAATGATGGGACAGTATCCTTGGTAGAAAATATATCAGAATATTATCCTAAGATGAATGAATCATCGGGGCGTGATCTGGGATGGAGTTAATATTAGGAAGTTAGCTCAGAAGGAAGAAAGTATAAGGACAGTAATTTAAAATTAAGTTGAAAGTAAGATATTATACTGTAGAGTCCAGGTGATCAAAAACGTTTCAGGTAACCCAGGAGGAAGACAGTATTAGGACAGTAATTTAAAAGAAAGTTAGAAGCAAGAGATTATACTCTAGAGTCGGGGTGACCAGACAAGTTTTCCTGCCTACCAGTGTCCATTATCCAGAAACAAATGACCATCAGACATTAGGAAATGGGCCTCAGCTGTTCGTATCCAGGAGACTGACCCACATAGAACTCAGTGTTTTGTTTGGCCATGTCCGGAATACTGACCCATGTGAAACCTAGTTTTATGATTGGCCATGTACACAAGAATACTGACCAATTTAGAACCCAGTGTTTTGTTCGAACAGGTACACGGGAATACTAACCCATGTAGAACCTAGTGTTATGTTTGGTCATATACACGAGAATACTGAACCATGTATAACCCAGTGTTATGTTTGGTCATATACACGAGAATACTGAGCCATGTATAACCCAGTGTTATGTTTGGTCATATACACGAGAATACTGAACCGTGTATAACCCAGTGTTATGTTTGGTCATATACACGAGAATACTGAACCATGTAGAAGCCAGTGTTATGTTTGGTCATATACACGAGAATACTGAAACATGTAGAAGCCAGTGTTATGTTTGGTCATATACACGAGAATACTGAACCGTGTATAACCCAGTGTTATGTTTGGTCATATACACGAGAATACTGAACCATGTAGAAGCCAGTGTTATGTTTGGTCATATACACGAGAATACTGAAACATGTAGAAGCCAGTGTTATGTTTGGTCATATACACGAGAATACTGAACCGTGTATAACCCAGTGTTATGTTTGGTCACATACACGAGAATACTGAAACATGTATAACCCAGTGTTATGTTTGGTCATATACACGAGAATACTGAAACATGTATAACCCAGTGTTATGTTTGGTCATATACACGAGAATGATTATGTTTGGTCATATACACGAGAATACTGAACCGTGTATAACCCAGTGTTATGTTTGGTCATATACACGAGAATACTGAACCATGTAGAAGCCAGTGTTATGTTTGGTCACATACACGAGAATACTGAAACATGTATAACCCAGTGTTATGTTTGGTCATATACACGAGAATACTGAAACATGTATAACCCAGTGTTATGTTTGGTCATATACACGAGAATACTGAAACATGTATAACCCAGTGTTATGTTTGGTCATATACACGAGAATACTGAACCCTGTATAACCCAGTGTTATGTTTGGTCATATACACGAGAATACTGAACCATGTAGAAGCCAGTGTTATGTTTGGTCATATACACGAGAATACTGAACCCTGTAGAAGCCAGTGTTATGTTTGGTCATATACACGAGAATACTGAACCCTGTAGAAGCCAGTGTTATGTTTGGTCACATACACGAGAATACTGAACCCTGTAGAAGCCAGTGTTATGTTTGGTCATATACACGAGAATACTGAACCATGTAGAAGCCAGTGTTATGTTTGGTCATATAAACGAGAATACTGAACCGTGTATAACCCAGTGTTATGTTTGGTCATATACACGAGAATACTGAACCCTGTAGAAGCCAGTGTTATGTTTGGTCATATACACGAGAATACTGAACCATGTAGAAGCCAGTGTTATGTTTGGTCATATACAGGAGAATACTGACCCATGTAGAAGCCAGTGTTATGTTTGGTCATATACACGAGAATACTGAACCATGTAGAAGCCAGTGTTATGTTTGGTCATATACACGAGAATACTGAACCGTGTAGAAACCAGTGTTATGTTTGGTCATATACACGAGAATACTGAACCATGTAGAAACCAGTGTTTTGTTTGGCCGTGTACAGATTAATGACCCATTTAGAAGCCAGTGTTATGTTTGGCCATGTACAGAATACTGACCCGTGTAGAAGCCAGTGTTATGTTTGGTCATGTCTAAAATACAGACCCATGAAGAACCCAGTGTCATGGTTGGTCATGTCCAGAACCCTGACCATGTACAGAATACTGACCCATGTAGAACCCAGTGTTGTGTCTGGCTATGTCCAGAATACTGACGCATGTAGAAGCCAGTGTTATGTTTGGTCATGTTTAGAATACTGACCCATGTAGAAGCCAGTGTTATGTTTGGCTGTGTTGTCGTCCAAGTAGGTGACGATGAAGGAAGTTCTGGGCGCCTTCCCGAAACCCTGCAGGGCCATGCCGATGACGATGATGACCAGGGAGATCTCGGCAAATTTTTCCGAGACCGCAACACTCGCGAGATCAACTCGTTTTGAAGCTAAAGAAAGAGAAAAAGAAAAAGATTATATATTGTGCGATATGAAAGTTAAGATCGTCATCATACAGCAGGTTGTTTAGACTCGCCAGCTTTTCTGCCTCATGCATTTTCTGGCCCAGTGTGTCTCTAATGTCCTGTGCCCACCTTCGTCCTGGTCGACCCTTGCTTCTCCTACGCGTCACCATACCCTCCATTACAGTTCCTTTCATTCCATACTTCTTCTTCCGCGTTTCTATCTCCCAATGAAGCATAGGCCCTCAACCAACTCACGCCAAGTAGTTCTATCCTTCGCCATTGCATGGAGCTCTCCTCATGTCCTCCCCATCTTTCTAACTTCACTCTCCAGCTCTCTTTTCCATATGTTTTTTGGTCTTCCTTTATTCCTATACCCCTGTGGGTTCCAATGCAAAGACATTCTAGTTATGCTGTTCTCCTGTTTTCTAAGTGTGTGTCCTATCTAACGCCAGTGTCTTTTCCTCACCTCTTGGTCCACTGGAGTCTGTTTAGTCCTCTCCCAAAGCTCTACATTAGTTATTCTATCATGCCATTTAATTCCCTATATTCTGCACAGGCACCAGTTAATGAATGTTTGTAGTTTATTAGTAATTGCCTTAGTTGTTCTCCATGTTTCCGCCCCATACAAAAGTACTGATTTGACATTAGAATTAAAAGTTTTTAGTTTTGTATTTCTTTTAATTTCTTTTGTCCATACTAGCTTTTGATATCCCTCCAAGCGGCATGTTGACTAGGAAACTGACATATTTGGGGAGGGTGGGTTGATAGGTGTTCAACCCACCCTCTCCAAATATTTCAGTTTCCTAGTCAAGATGCCGCTTACGAGCCAGTTTTCTTCGATGTTCATGTATTTTAGGGTGATGACATATTTGTTTTTTTTTCTTTTTCGGTCCATGGTATGCTAAGAACTTTTCTACGTATAACGTTTCAGTTTAGGATAATAAGAGCCTTGACAGTAATCTGGGAGAAAGATAATGGTGGGACAGTAATTTGGGAGGAAAATAATGTCCGCACATTAAATTTGAAGGAATATAATGTTTACCTTGCAACAACGCTCTGGCTCTAATCATATGCAGTCTACTATGACATATTCTCGGCTACTGTAACATAGTACCAGGATGGGCTGTCCTGGGAAAGTAAAGACAGCCGGCGTAATGCTGACCACATTACCCACAGAGTGCTGATGGTCTGTAAAAATATGGGACGCTCTGCCCATATGCCCGATGCGCCGAAAGGCGTGAAAAGGGAACTTTACTTTTTTTTTACTGTAACATAGTAAACTGGAACTTACGTTGAGAAAAACCCGAACAGCTGATAACACTTCTGTTTATTCTGCAACGATGTCCTCTAGCTCAAAATAATGTCAGATAAAAGGATATCTATGGTCTTAGCCATGTTCACAAGTATATTGATACTTACGACAATCATAAGGATTGACACTGTCACTTCATCTCACGCAGGTGTTTCACAAATGTGTTAGGTGTGTATCCTTTACAGGACGTTGCAGAACCAAACCCCAATAGCCCATGGCTGTTGTGTGGTTTTTCTAGGCAAATTTACGTCTAGTAGTTTGCCATTGCTTTCTGGACATCAGAAATAATTTCACAAATAGCATCAGAAAAATACAGTCACAACTCCCTCACATTCCTCCATTCCGTGACGTCATGAAAACATTAGCTAGGTTTCTTCAAGCTGGGAAGTTAAAGATATCAGGCGCTCAATGAAGCAGTATTCATTTAGTTTAGGATTCACTCGCTCCACGAATTTCAACATCCAACAAGACTCGATCAAAACAAGACTTGACTAACAGTTTCTCACGGCTTAAATAGCTTCTTCTTTTCGTTCTAGAATGTTCTCACACATTACTTGCACCTCCTGCTCTTTTCATGACTTTTCAGCCTCGTTCACCTCCTAAAATTCATGTTCGCCTCGATGTGACATTGAATCTGTTCACTCATACATTACTCTTAAGACGACCTAAGCCTAGTTTTTTAAAATGAGATACGAAGAAGAAAAATGACTCAATACAAGCTGGTCGCTCATCTCCTGATATTGCCCTCCCATTTGTATCGCTATCTACCTTTTACTCTCTTGTCTCCACCTTTCTCTCCAATAGGTTTTTAAAAATGAAAACGGATGTTCACTTTAGTCCTGGAACAAGATCAATGACCAACAAAATCCACACCTAGAGAATCAGCTCAGGACGTTGCACCGGAGTTTACAGCTGGTGACTGCAGAAAATAATGAAGCAAAGACAATGAAATGAGTTTATGAAAGTGCGTACTGACCGGAAGAATTAGCGCAAGGAATCCAACTATTGTTGACGTCACACAACCTGCCGAAGATGCTGGACTGTTGGTTGACGTCAGAACTTGAATTATTGGAGTTCTCTGATGCTCGATCCGCGTTGACTTGTGCTCCAAACAGGAAGTGTGGAAAGGGCGCATGCAATACCAGACACTCCATAGGTGATCGCAGCGACACCTGTAGTCGGGAACGCAGAGGTCAGCATGCAAGATTAGATAATCCTAGAGAAAACATATCTTCCTACTATTAGCGTGTACCGACTGTAAACTCCAGTGAAAAGTTCTGGTTGTTCGTCCACTTGTAGGTCTTGTTTCCAAACTTGAGTTTGGCATGCACATCCGTTTTATAGATCTGGCTTATTTGTATGCAAACTGCTGGTTCCTCGCCTATCAGACAGATGCACACCGACTTCGAAGAATACAACCCTAAAAAATCGCCTTTAAAGTCATGCTTGTTGGGGGAGGGGGGGGGGGATGGGGTTTATTCTCACCCCCACGCCCCAAATGGGGCCATGGAACTCAGACGGTGATAGAAAAAACATAAAGATGGTGTGAAAAGGAAGCCAGTTAACACATACCAAGACAAGGCTGTTCACGCATAGGACGACTAGCTTCTATGGTTTATATTTTCTTGTACAACTTAAAATACAACTTTATACGTTTTTATTAAGTTGGCTTTGGTATGTTTGTAGGTTTATCTGGGTAGGATGTTGTGTCGAATTTTACACAGTTTTCTCCGATAAGCTATCGATATGAAATTTTGCACATACACGCCTTATGAATGACAATGCAATGTGTAAAAGTATTCCGATGAAGCAGTTTTTATTTTTAAATGATAATTTATGATGCCAAAAATTGTATTATAACTCGGATGGTAATGCAAGATCAAAGACCAACAAGATCCAGACGACCAGACAATTAGTTTCCGTCGGAGTTTAAAGCTGCTGACTACATAATGTGATGAAGGAAAAAGATGGGGGAAAATGAAACACACACACACACACATAGAAGAGGCTGACGAAGCGAAATGACCCACCTAACGACCTGGGTATGTGGGTCCTTGTTGCCAGGTATCCAACAAACAGAACACAGACCAGGTAACCGATGTCGTTTGCTGCCAGAATGATGCCAGTTTGCTGGGAACTAAAGCCAAATTGTCTTTCCAGTGTGGTCACCTGTAAAAGATCTTATCATTATCTATCTGTTTAGTTCAGTGTTTCTCAAGGTCCCATGTCCCACCTAGGTTAGGTTAGTTGCGTATCCTTTCAGGACGTTGCAAAACCAACCCCAACAGCCCCTGCTGTTGTGTGGTTTTTCTAGGCAAATTTACGTCCAGTAGTTTGCCATTGCTTTATGGACGGTCAGCTTTCTTGATACCACTGTCGAAACCAACGCAAGGCCCATGGCCTGCAGCTGTGGTCGAATTCGGCATTACGAAGCGTTCGCATCGACTTAGCCACAGAGCCGACTGTTCCGACTAAGCCTTTCTAAAATTCTGATGCCCTGCTAAGTAACTTAAACCCTGGACGAGTCTATTTTTTAATTGCCCCCTTGACCATTAAAATGTCCCTCCCTCCCCGTGTGGCGTGGGACGTTGGGAAACACTGGTCTGGCTGTTTGTCTGTCTGTCTGCCTGCCTGCCTATCTATATATTGCCTTTTGTAGAGGGTTGAAGGCAGAAGAGTTGCAAGGTCAGGAACTTAAGCACTGTATACAAAGACTGTAGCCGACGACCATCAGTCCCTGGGAAAGCAAGGAGTTGTGCCGCTTGTTTTTGGAACAGCGTCTGCTATGTTTCTAAAGTCGAATGAGGGAGTGGCATTCTCTACCACATAGTCCACATGAGAACGCTGATACTCTATGTCTGTTGAGAAACCATCGACCCGGCTGCTTCGAGATACCAGCTAAGTGATTTTGTGTATTTATGTGGAACTTTTTGATTTATATGTGCTGAAGAAGGCTCCATAGCCGCAACGTTCACGTTTTGTTTGTATTTGGTATATTGTAAAGCTTGCTAATATACTTTTTGTTCAATTTTTTTAAATTTTTTTTTAAATTTTACTGAGGCTGGTTTCCCCCCAGACGTCTCCCCGCTATAGCTTGCCGCGTTTGACCTATTGCAAAGTGCGAAAGTCCCATCTTCAGCTGTGTGCCTTCACAGGAGTCGCTCTGCAGCTGACCTTTCACAGGCGTCTGTGTCAATGCTGATATCTTTTAGGACGCGTTTGTATGTGTCCTTGTAAAGCAGCCTTGGCTTTCCTGCCAATCATTTCTCTGTTTCTAGTTTGAGTTATTTTTACTCTCGTTCACCGGCTGTAAACTCCAATGGAATATTCTGGTTGTTCGTCCATTTCTCGACTTTCTTCTTCTTCCACAACTCTGATGCTTGCACATACGCTTTACAGATCTGTCATTTCTGTATGCACAGGTAGGTGTACTCCGACCTCTATTTGTGTGTCTAATTTTTTCCCCACAATGGGACCCTGGAACCCACACGGGGTCTCTTTTAATACTGAGGCCAGTTTTCTCTTAGACATCTAGTCTATATAGTTTGCTGCGTTTGGCCTCTTTCAAAGTGCGACTGCCCGTCTTTGACTGTCTGCCTTCAGGGAGTTGGTCTGCAGGTGATCTTCTCCAGGTGTCTTCATATCAGTGTTGGAATTTTTCAGGTCACGTTTGCATATATACTTTTAGCAAAGCCTTGGAATTCCTGCAGATCTATTTCCCGTGTTCAGTTTCATCATAAAGCAGCGCTCGCACAAACAACAACACAACCAACTCTACAGCCATTTACCTGAGAGTTCACATAGTTTACCAGCGTCTGCGTCATTAGTCCGGCCACACTTATGAAAGCTGTGAAGGCGCCAACCCTTGCAAATGGCTGCATGAAGTCTGGGTGCCATACCCAGAGTCCACATCGTGTAGCCATGTCATGATCATTATCCATCTTGCTTGGCGTCGTCTCGTTACTAGGCAACTTCAGGGACTCTGGTTTGTAAACGAGAGATGTTACATTGCTGTTGGTTGTTGCAAGTTGGTGACTGTTGTAATCTTTTAGTTGTTGATTGTCGCTTGTTGTTGGAATCTGCTCGTTGTTACTCATTGACTTGTTTGTTGTTCTGTTTTAGTCTGTCCCTACTTTCATCACTTTCACCTGTGTAAACAATTGATTAATTTAGAACAAAAGAATATTGACGTACGGTTCTTCTTTTGCGTTTGACCTTAAGAGAGAGGTTGTCACTTTGCGTTGTGGTCTACAGCTAGTAAGCGATATTTGCACCTTTCGGTCCAAGTCATTTGAGTTCAGCAGATTCATAGTTATTGGCTTTTTATGACATGCTTGGGGGAGGGGGTAGGGGAGGTGGCACTATTCCCCCTCCCTCTACCCAAAAAAAAAAAAAAAAAAAAAAAAAAAAACCACAGAACCTTGGAACCCACACAGGGAAAAGATTTATTTGCAAAAGTACATTGGGCTGGAGGGGAGGGGGCGTCATTTTACAGTCATCGCCCATTAGGAGTGATTGTTCTATTTAAACGACATGACTGAAGAAAGTAGATTGTCTCCTCATGACACGACCAACGAATATACATTATCTCCTTCTCATGACAAGACCAAAGAATATAGATGATCTCCTTCACAAGTAAATGTCTTCTAAGACATCTTCATTATTCTTTCATCTACACATGCTTTCTCATTATTTGTCTATGAAACCACATCTCCGCAGTTTCCTCATACTTTTGACTAATCGGCCACCTATCCATGATTCATCACCGTTTATCAAGATTGGATTGATATATGTCTTGATACCTCTTCCTTCCCTTAACTGACAAAGAAATAGCGCATAGAATATTCTTCAGTTGGTAAAATGCTGCCTAAGGGGAGTACAGAGCCGCGGTGGCTTGGGAGCACGACGCTCGCCAGTTCTCATGTGGTGGGTTCAAATCTGCATAGAAACGGATTTTATCAGAACTGACCTTAGCTCCCAGGTGGAGCCAGCCTGAAATAGGTGTCAGGAAATGTCTCGGAAAGTAAAGAAGACCAGCATAATTGTGACCACCGGGTACCGATGGGGTACAATACTATATGTTTAGCATCATGAGAGATGTGCTGTTGGCATGACAACGGTCTTTACACAAATACGAAAGTCTATAAACATGTGAACGAAGTCAACAGGGGTTCTGAAGTTCCACTCTCTGCTGTTGAAGAAAACTGTTAAGCTGGTCTTGCTAATAGTCATACTCGCCATCGCTATGGGCTGTGATTTCCCGCTGCTCCTCTATGGCAATGAAATATTACCGTCCCGACAAACATAAAGGTGCCAGTAAACTAAAAGATGTACCTAAAGATCCGAAAGAAGTTTTCCGTGGAAGTGTACTCGTCCAACCATCGATTCTTGGGTGGCCTGCAAGTGGCACTGGAGCCTCCTACAGTCCGCGTGACAGTAACGGATTGTCTGATTTAGACAGAGGTGTGACAGTGTAATGAATGCTAGAGGTCAAAGGTCAGGGGCGCATCGAATTATTCTAATGTATCATGTAACAGCCTAGACTCTAGACATTAGCTGAAATAATTATGCTTCGGACAAGGCCCGCCGAGAGAAAGAAATTACATTGGAATGTGCGTTGGTATCTGCTCTCTGTTTCCAGTTGTATTGTTTCAGCACGTCGCTCCTCTGTTATAACTTGTATCTGTTTATACAAATGTTTCATTCATGACAAGAGTATGCCTATATATATATATATATATATGTATATAAACCAAAGGACCAACCCTCTTTCAGGCATATTGGGCACATACAGCTAGAACTACACTTTATAGACCACTCAGCAATCAGTGGGTGATGAGGTCAAGATCACGCCGGCCGCCTTTACTTTTCAGGTCATTACCCCGTACATAGTTTATCCTAGGTCGACCTTGTAGCCAAGGTCAATTTTGAATTCCCCACCCCCTTTAAAAAAAAAAAATTCAGGCTGCATTGCAGACTTGAACCTGATACCTTCGGGTCCCCCGAGAGAATGAATGACTGAAGGAATCAAGAAATAATTACACTGCACTTCGGACATTCCATACATGCATCGACCCTTCTTCAATAGCCAGCGAAGAGACAACATGTTAACAGTACAGTTGCAACAGCAAGACTGATTAGCAAAAGGGTGGACAGAAAGGCGACTGCAGGAGATCCCCTCCCTGGCACAACGCTCATTCCCTGTCCTCACTGTCCAAGAACTTTGCAGGTCTCCATCGGCCTCATCAGTCATCTTCGTACTCATACTTGATGAAAATGATGGACAACACACACACACACACACACACACACACAAACACACACACCCACACACACACCCACACCCACCCACACACACACACACACACACACACACACACAGTTGCAGCCTGATTAAAAGTCTGCATCTGTTTTCCCTTCAATGTTGAATATCTTCCAGAATCTTCAGTCACTCCCGTTAAATTAGTCTTTCAGTGTATGGATCTCTTTCTATTACATTGTCCATTTGACCCCAGAGGACCTTTACCGAGTTCGCTTTATTATAAAGTAGCTCACTGCCGAGAGGAGCGGTAGCAATTAATCTATCAGACTGCTCGTTACCTCACACACCTGAATATCCTGGACAGAATTCTACGATATGTTCCCGATCTGAGTCTATCACGTAATGCAAGCCAATCTGCACACAGCACTCCGGTTTCAATTTATAATGATGTTGTGTAATTTTACAATGATACTGTATAATGTTACAATGATGTTGTGTACTGTTACAATGATGCTGTATAATGTTACAATGATGCTGTATACTGTTACAATGATGCTGTGTACTGTTACAAAGATGTTGTGTACTGTTACAATGATGTTGTGTACTGTTACAATGATGCTGTGTACTGTTACAATGATGCTGTGTACTGTTACAATGATGCTGTGTACTGTTACAATGATGCTGTGTACTGTTACAATGATGCTGTGTACTGTTACAATGATGACGTGTAATGTTACAATGATGTTGTGTAATATTACAATGATGTTGTGTAACATTACAATGATATTGTGTAATGTTACAATGATGTTGTGCATAATGTCATAATGATTCTGTGTAATGTTACATTGATGTTGCATAATGTTATAATGTTGTGTATAACAATGTAACAGCCCGAACCCCGCAGGCGAATGTGCAGCCACTACTCTAGCGCGACTTGGCAGGCGCTGAGGCCCATGACCAATTTCTGACCGTTCCTCCTGGCACGTTTTTACATGCTACATGCCATATCTAGAAGTTGCATTGTTCAGAAATCATGCCAAACTTAAAAATGCAGGTCATGACATAAAAAGTAACTTAGCCTTTATTCACTCTCTTGTGCTTTCCACAAATCGCTTGGTAAACATCTGGTTTTATTGTCTTGTAATTATTATATGATATTTTCCTCTGAAGTTTATCCACTCTTTATAACAAACTCTACAACAGTCGATGTGTCTATGGTAGAGGCGACCAGAAGAGCCAGGAGCAGAACCTTAATCTCCCTCGGCACTCAAAGGAGTAACAGAGGAAGTGAAGAGGAACGAACGAACGAACTTTATTTTCATGGGTCACAAATTGGGCACGCAGGCCTGTCTTACATTCGGCCCTTCCAATCATCAATCTGTCGCACAGCAGTGATATTTTACCAATAAAGCATGTTATGATGATATGATGATTTGCATATTATGAATATCACTAAAGAACACACAAAGATGCACACAAAAACCATACACCCAACTACATACACACACCCACATACACATGCTCACCCACTCACTTCCACACACATACATGCATGATGCATACATGCATTCAACATACGTACATACATACAGACATACATATGGCATACATGGAGACACACACATGCACACATAGACACGCCCACAGACACACACGCAGACTCACACACACTCACGCAGACAAACATACAGACAAGCACACAGAGAGACACATACATACAGCCCTATAGACACACATGAAGACAAACGCACACACACACACACACACACATACAGAGGCAAACATGCAGACAAACACATACAGATGCAAACATGCAGACAAACACATACAGATGCAAACATGCAGACAAACACATACAGATGCAAACATGCAGACAAACACATACAGAAGAGGAAGAAGAAGACTTTATAATCCGGTCAAGGCTAAATCCCACTTTAAAAAATCCCCCCCCCCCCCCTAAATCCTTTTTCAGCCCAATAATAGGTTTTACGTGCGGGGTAAAGGGGCTTAAATCTTGTTTAAGTGCACAATAGTTAATGACCGTAAAAAAGCCAAGGACTCGATCCCACGACCTTCGGATATGTAGGCGACCGTCTAGCCACTACACCACCGCGGGTCCCCTGTGCAATTTTAATTATAATTGTAATTATTGTGTGCTGTATGGTAATAAATATAATAATATAACTAAAAAAAAAAAAAATTACAAGTTAGTCGACTGTTAATCCTCATCACTACACATCGAACCACTCAGTCCATAAGTGCTCGGATCCCCTCCTCAGTAAACCCCGCGGCGTGTAGCGGCTCACGACGACCAGTTCTCTGTTGGTTTATTATTCTGCTTTGGCTACCCGTATAGTACTCTTGTCTGGCCACACCCGTTTCAACCAATGAATGTAAAATGCATAAATACTTCAAAGAGAAATTCTAAACATAGTTAATAGGACCATTTATCAACTTGCCAATTTTCAATGGGTATGGGGCTAAGCCGGGGCGCCGGGTTCGATTCCAGCTGCTGACGATTAGTCTTGCGGTGGTTTTAACAGTGTTACAGCGAGCTGACCGTTCAGTCAGCAATGCAAACTAGTGAAAGTTAAATTTGCTTAGAAAAACCACAACAGCCAAAAAATGCTGGAGTTGGTTCTTCAACGTCCTGTAAAGGATACGCAACTAACTTGAACAGTGCTCCCGAATGTTTTAGTGGATGCCCGCCCTAACGCAACGCGGCCACAGTGGGAGCTGAATTTTCACATCAATAACGTTTCGGTTAACGAAGATTTCGACTAAAGCATTTGATTCTAGAACGAATTATCTTCTTTAGCCGAGGTATAACTGTGTATATGTAGTTAGCATCTTGTCTCGAAAACTGAAAGTAGGTAGCGTTTTGTCTCGAGAATTGAAAGTAGGTAGCTTTTTGTCTCGAAAACTGAAAGTCGATAGCGTTTTGTGTCAAAAACTGAAAGTAGATAACGTTTTGTCTCAAAAACTGAAAGTCGATAGCGTTTTGTGTCAAAAACTGAAAGTAGAAAGCGTTTTGTCTCAAAAACTGAAAGTCGATAGCGTTTTGTGTCAAAAACTGAAAGTAGATAGCGTTTTGTCTCGAAAACGGAAACTTTTTTTTTTTTTTGCCATATTAAGCTGCGCGACTGAAAAGATTAATAACAGAAGGCATGATAACAGGAAGGAGGGGTAGGGACAGACCAGCAGGAAGTTGGCCCCTAGATATAAGTGCATAAATGGCACATTGGAAAGGAAAGTGCACAAGGCAGAAGAACTGGCGAAAGACCGAGTTTCTTTCAGGCAGACCGTGATGAGAGCGACGTTCTGCAAAGGATCTGTTATTGGTGATATATATTTTATAATAGCCACATTTCTCCTAGCTTTACGGTATTTACAATGGAATCAAGGCCGAAGGGTTGCGATATCCATAATACCGAGCCTAAGGATTAACAACTCATGGCTTCTGGATACTAAAACAAAGCAACAAACCTATTTTAATATATCAGCATACATATAGGCAGATCCATCCATCCATCTACCATTGCATCTATCTACGAACGTAACCATCGTCCCGCCCATTCATCTACCCACACCATTTATCTCACCATCCACTCAATGCTATTTTTCACCGCTTCCTTCCATTCTGGCTGTTACCAGCCTTACATTTGGGCTCTACCAATACTTTGTATAAAAATCACCCTTAATGTCTCTATTTGATAGCGGACAGTAAGAGAGAAGCACTGTGTTACTAGACTCATGTTTTTACCTCATCTCATATTTGATCGATCAATCCATCCATCTACGATACCATTCATCCACTAATACAGTCATCCATCATTCCATCCATTCATCTACCCACCCATCCATCCATCTACCATTCCATTCATCCACTAATACAGTTATCAACCATTCCATCCATTCATCTACCCACCCATCTATCCAGGACACACTCGCCTATCCACACCACCATCCACACATGCTGTTTTCCCATCTATCCCTTCATCGCTCCCTTACACTCTGGTTGTTACCAGTCTTACTCTCGGGCTCGACTGATTACTTTTGTACAACAAGCATCCTTACTGTCTCTATTTGATAGCTGACGGTAAGAGAGAAGCATTTATCTATCTATCTATCTATCTATCTATCTATCTATCTATCTATCTATCTATCTATCTATCTATCTATCTATCTATCTATCTATCTATCTATCTATCTATCTATCTATCTATCTATCTATCTATCTATCTATCTATCTATCTATCTATCTATCTATCTATCTATCTATCTATCTATCTATCTATCTATCTATCTATCTATCTATCTATCTATCTATCTATCTATCTATCTATCTATCTATCTATCTATCTATCTATCTATCTATCTATCTATCTATCTATCTATCTATCTATCTATCTATCTATCTATCTATCTATCTATCTATCTATCTATCTATCTATCTATCTATCTATCTATCTATCTATCTATCTATCTATCTATCTATCTATCTATCTATCTATCTATCTATCTATCTATCTATCTATCTATCTATCTATCTATCTATCTATCTATCTATCTATCTATCTATCTATCTATCTATCTATCTATCTATCTATCTATCTATCTATCTATCTATCTATCTATCTATCTATCTATCTATCTATCTATCTATCTATCTATCTATCTATCTATCTATCTATCTATCTATCTATCTATCTATCTATCTATCTATCTATCTATCTATCTATCTATCTATATTTGTTTGCAAGCACAGGCACCACTTTTATTCCACGCGGATGGACTAAGGTCATCCCCACAACCCAACCCCGGTTACGCCCTATAGGCCAACCCCTCCCTCCCTCCTTAGACACCTAGTGTACGCTGTTGGCGTCCAGCCCGTCCCTTTTTTTGCCCCTACCTGCGCGTTGAAGGTATATAGGCTGACCGTCGTTTCATTTGAACGAAGTTTTTTCGCCAGGGACACTAGATGAGTATCGTTTATTTTATACATTAGAGTCCTATGTAGTCACTTCATAGTTAGAGCCTATTTGTGTATGTGTACTGTGTTGTCCTTTAGGTGCTGATGAAGGCTAATCGCCGCAACGTCCTTTGTTTGTTTATTGTGATCGATTTTGTAAAGCTAACATAAACTAATTGTTGTTTCTTACCAACTTTTTCTCTTCGCTATAATTTTCTACTCCTTATAAAAACTTATATATTTTCAGGCAAGATTTAAAAAAAAAAAAAAACTGCTACCCAACAAATGAACAAGTTTTAATTTGTATTTAGTTTTATAATCTGTTTCTTGGAGCTCATACTTATGTTTGGATGTCTCAATAACGGTGTCGGTTGGTATGTAGGTGCACTGGCTTGTTGGCATCTTGTTTCTATTTCCCGATCTGCTCTCCGGTCCTCCGAGAATATGCTGCCTATGTATTTAAATTTTTTAACTTGCTTCAGAAAAGTACCATTCGACCCGATCTGTAGCGGACTAGGAATTCTGATGACCTTCATTATTTTAGTTTTAGTAGTATTTATTTTCATGTGATATCTTCTGCATGTTGAACTTGGCCTGTTCAAATGTTCTCGAAGTCTACTTCCCTCAAGGTAGAACAGGCACTGATCGCCTGCAAACAGCAGCTGGTTTATTGTGAGTGGATCTAACGCTTTAAAATGTAAAGCTGATAATGGAGTAAACAGAGAAGTTAGTGTCTCACTCTCAGTCGGCACTGTAGAAGGTACAGAATGAACAAATGTGGCATGAGTGGATACCAAGCATCAGTACCTTAACACGACAGGGACTCTTGTGGATAAACTGTCCGAGACGTGCAGGAGTGTGAGGAAAGAAAGAGCGGATTTTCTGGCTGCAAAAGCGATAACCACAGAAACACTCGCATCGGACAAAGGAGACATTTTGAAGACCAAAACTGAACGACTGCTGACAGAAGACACGAGATTAGATGAAATAACATGTGCAAGAACGTGGGAACAAGGAATTCAGTGTGGATCCGGAAAGGAGGGACGGATGAGAAGAAGAGAACATTGTGTATACAACTAGTGTGTTATGGGAACAGTTAGCATCGACACCTTAAGACATTTACTGCGGGAGACGGAGCAACTAAGGGCATGCCCGGTGTGCTATGATTTCGTTTCCTAAATCAGTAATCAGTAATATAACTATTTTCTTCTTCTTCTTCTTCGCGTTCACCAGCTGTACACTCTGGCGGAAGGTTCTGGTTGCTCGTCCACTACTGAACTGCAGTCCTGCTCCAGAACCTGAGTGTTGCGTGTGCATCAGTTTTACAGATCTCATTCTCTTGAATACAGACTGTTGGTTCCTTGCCTCTCCGGCAGATGCACTCCGACTTCAAAGGAAGCTCCCCAATTAGTCGACTCTTACGACATGCTTTTGGGGAGGCAGTGGGTCTATTCTTGTTTTCCCCACAATGGGAGCCCGGAACCCACACGGGGGTATAACTATTTTGTTACAGTCAATCTCATCAGTAAAAAAAAAAATGTTTACTTACAAAGCAAAACAGTTAGAAAATAAAAAAATAGAACAAAAGTAAAGATTCAGTTAAAAAAAAAATTACATGAGGGAAATCAACTGGAACAAAACACACAGCATAAGCTGAAATGAGTCAGCAGATATGAAGGTCGAAATATGTAATGCATTGGTTTTTTTTTTCTTTCTCATGTCGAATTATCACACACATGTAGATACTACAAGGAGGTTGTGCATATTTACATGTTTACACCTTAGCTTCAAAACCACATGTATAACATTATCCACAAATTAAAATATTGTCACGTTCATATAAACCTGCTCACACACACACTCACACATACACACACATACAGGATACATACATACATACATACATACATACATAATACATTCATGCATACATACTGACAAACGATTAGACAGACCTTACAATTAGTCTTATGAACATAAATTTTTTTAAATATTCAAAAACCATGAGTTCTTCACCCTATGGCTCGGTACTATGGATATCGCAACCCTTCGGCCTTGATTCCATGATAGGTACCGTAAATCTGGGGGAAAATGTGGCTTTTCTGCCTACCCCCGGGCGTGAACCCGGACCACAAGGAGTTCGTCACCCGGCCGCCGCAAAATCAGGTTCAGCCAATTACGCTAGCGTTCCGGGCAATATACACAGACATAACATAGGCAGTCAGTAACTCAGCCTGTCAGACAGACAGATACAGACAGACAGGTGGGCAGACAAACAGACAGACAGATATTTGATAATTCATTGACTGTTATTTCATAGCACCTGACTAACAGTGACCCGCAGTAACTATGAGACATCCTCGTGTGGTAAAGTTCGCGGAGGCAATTGCTATAAACTTAGACTGTTACGTGTTACGAAAACCAAAGGAACATGTGGTTAATGCACAGTGTAACAAAACCACAGGAACATGTGGTTAATGCACAGTGTAACAAAACCACAGGAACATGTGGTTAATGCACAGTGTAACAAAACCAAAGGAACATGTGGTTAATGCACATCTTACAAAAAACCACAGGAACATGTGGGTAATGCACAGTGTAACAATAGACATCATGTTTTAGGTACTTCATTCAAAGAGATTTATTGTCATGCTTCGTTATATGTTGAGCTGATTGTACAGTCTACAGGTGACGAGATAGAAGACAAAAAGCCACGCAATAAATTGAGCAATATATTTATGTTCACATTATTTAAATATTAGGCGTCCACAGTGGCGTTGCCATTAACAACGAGTGTCATTTCTACTGTGGGGGCACCGTCTTCACCCTTAGCGTCGGTATCCAAACACCTGGTACACCTGGCATACACGTAGGCGATCAGTTGAAACGCCAAAGAGCAGGCGAGAAACAGACCTGCATAACCTTGGAATTTAAGCCGGAACATGTCGTTGTCGTAAAGAAGACAGCGCCCTCTGGCGTGACACTTGATGTCCCAGATTAGACAGGTGTTATCGATGAGGCTGCCGAAGACGATTGGAGCCAACAGCCAACCTGCAGAAATAAATTATAGATGCCGTTGAATATTCCACGCGTTGTGCAAACAAAATGAGAATGTTATAAATTTGAAACGGAAATGAGAGAGCAGGTGAGTTGGCAAAGGTTGAGAGTAATCTTCCACAACCTCATTCACCACACAGCTACAAGGAAACCAAAACAGCCCTAAAGCTGTCTTTTAAGCAGCAGTAGAGAAGGCAGAATGGAGATTACAGACAAGAGAGTGACAGCATGAACACATTCAACAGGAAAGAACAAACATCAATTTTTAGACTTTGGACAAGACCCCTGAGCACATACAGCTGCACTGCCCTAACTTCTCCCAGCAAAGACTGTGGATCCGGCCCAAGGGAGCCACATTGCAAGAGAAGCTATGGGAGACCAGTGGCGACCATAAACACACCATCCTATTTTTGACCCAGATGGGACTTAATGTTTAGCATGACTGATGTCGAACGCAGAAGAGGAAGAATAAATTTGAGACTGGTGTGGTAATCACATGGCTAATTTTAAATTTTGGTGGGAAGCGGTGTACAGCATTGGATTTCCCAGGCCTTTAGGATTTTATAGTTTATAATTGCACAGATGCTGCGGCTGTGCTAACACGGCAAATTTTTTTTTCTATGTTTGACTAATAATGTGTGTACCCCCTAAAAATAGAATATAAAGTAATTGATACACGTGCGGAGATTTTTTGGAGACCATGTCACGGTTCGATATATGTTAAGCTGATTGTGCAGTGCACAACTGATAAGACACATCTCAAAAAGCCACATAATAAATTGACCAATATATGGCATCAACTCACATGTGCAGGATGCATGATTGATATTTTGATAACATATCCTGCATACAATGAAAAAGTGTGTTCATCTAATCCACAGGAGGCTAATGCTGGAGATGACAACCAGAAAGTGAAAAGCTTACGAAATTTATGCGATGTGATATTTTTAAAAGCTCCCGTTACTTAGTTAACCATAAACACACTGAATGTTTGATTTGAAACGGTGTCTTTTTCCCCCTGTATAGCAAATAAGGCAAAATGAAAAGTAGATGTGTATTTACATAGCAAATTCTTACAATGACATGCTTATTAATACGTTGCGTGCCAAATTCCAGCAACTTACACCAAATGGTTACTGAGTTATAGAGTTTCAAAGTTAGGCAAGACTTCAGGGACAGACTAAAACTCTTTCAGCCCCACGAGGATATCACAACAAAGGCACCAGGAAATCAGTGACCACTACGAATAGTCACCAATAATAACTTTCAAACCGGCAAATTAGGCAACAGAAGTAGCACGCATGGAAGCCAGATTTCTTTAGTGCACTCAGACCAGTAGTAAACTGGGGGTGAACAAATTCCGCGATGGCTGGAATTATTGGGGTGGGGGGGGGGGAATAAATATTAGGTATATCACGTCGCATGGTATTGAAAGATAAAAGTTTTTCTATTTCTTGTAAACCTTGTCAATAATCTACCACTCAGTAACGGCTGGAGGGTAGGCACTATAAAACTGCAGCTTTTTATAAGCATGTGTACATCAGTTGAACAGTATGGTTCAACCTGTTGTTTGCATGTCCGAGATAAGAAGCTACAGTTCCGCAAGGCCTACCCTTGAGTCACCACTGGTGTTAGACAGTGAATGATCTAATCGGGCTGGATAAGATAAGAATAGTTCTTTACCAAACAGTGACGTCATAAAACGATGCTATATATATTATGGCCATAGATTAATATGTCATATTTAAAAAAGGAAAAACAACACCTGCAAATGGAAACAACAGAAATATATATATATATTATATATATATATATATATATATATAAGTATAATATATAATATATATAGTAAAATATATATATATATATACAAAACACAAAAACTGCAACTACTTTGAATGACTAACACACATTGTGGACTACTACAGTTTTATATATATATATCTATAAATATATTATATATAATATACCTAACTATATAAAGTTATATATAATATATATATATATACAATACAATACACACATATATATAAACACATAACACATATACTTATATACACATAGTAAAAATTTCTCGATTATTCCGGGCTCGTTATTACCAGGAATCATTCCGCCTGGTTGAAACAAATTAATTAGTAGCAATAAAAAGGGAACACATTGTTGTGCCAAAACGTTGCTATCGTGTCAGATGATTTTATTTTCCTGCATTTAACTAATACATAAACGTGAAGTTAAAATGTGAACAACACTTTAATTTTGAATTTCTCTTTTCCGCAATAATTCTAATAAGTGTTGTACAATATATAGTAAATATTTTTAAAACACTAGGCTGTAATAGAGGATTTCGTGTATAATCACGCCATAATCATGCCATAATCATGCCATAATCATACCATAATCATACCATAATCATACCATAATCATACCATAATCATACCATAATCATACCATAATCATACCATAATCATATCATAATCATACCATTATCATACCATAATCATACCATAATCATGCCATTGTCATACCATAATCATGTCATAATCATGCAATAATCATACCATTATCAACCATAATCATACCATAATCATGCCACAATCATGTCATAATCATGCCATTGTCATACCATAATCATACCACAATCATGTCATTGTCATACCATAATCATGCCATAATCATGCCATAATCATGCCATAATCATGCCACAATCATACCATATTCATACCACAATCATGTCATAATCACGATATAATCATGCCATATTCATGCCATAATCATACCATAATCATACCATAATCATACCATAATCATACCATAATCATACCATAATCATGTCATTGTCATACCATAATCATACCATAATCATGCCATAATCATGTCATTGTCATACCATAATCATACCATAATCATACCATAATCATACCACAATCATGCCATAATCATACCATAATCATACCATAATCATGCCATAATCATGCCATAATCATACCATAATCATACCATAATCATGCCATACATCATCACACCCATAATAATCATACATAATCATACCATAATCATGCCATAATCATACCATAATCATACCACAATACATGTCCATCATACCATAATCATACCATAATCATACCATAATCATACCATAATCATACCATAAACTCATACCATAATCATACCATAATCATACCATAATCATACATAATCATACCATAATCATACACCATAATCATACCATAATACCATGATCATACCATAATCATACCATAATCATTGTCATACCATAATCATACCATAATCATGCCATAATCATACCATAATCATACCATAATCATACCATAATCATACCATAATCATACCATAATCATACCATAATCATACCATAATCATACCATAATCATACCATAATCATACCATAATCATGCCATAATCATACCATAATCATACATATAATCATACCATAATCATGCCATACATACATCATATACATAATCATACCATAATCATGCCATAATCATACCATAATCATACCATAATCATACCATAATCATACCATAATCATACCATAATCATCATACATACCATAATCAAACCATAATCATACATAATCATACCATAATCATGCCATAATCATACCATAATCATACATAATCATAATAATACCATAATCATGCCATAATCATGCATAATCATCATAGCATACAATCATACCATATAGTCATACATAATCATACCATAATCATACCATAATCATGCCATAATCATACCATAATCATACCATAATCATACCATAATCATACCATAATCATGCCATAATCATACCATAATCATGCCATAATCATACCATAATCATACCATAATCATACCATAATCATACCATAATCATACCATAATCATACCATAATCATACCATAATCATACCATAATCATACCATAATCATACCATATTCATACCATAATCATACCATAATCATACCATAATCATGCCATAATCATACCATAATCATACCATAATCATACCATAATCATACCATAATCATACCATAATCATGTCATTGTCATACCATAATCATACCACAATCATGTCATTGTCATACCATAATCATGCCATAATCATGCCATAATCATGCCATAATCATGCCACAATCATACTATATTCATACCACAATCATGTCATAATCACGATATAATCATGCCATATTCATGCCATAATCATACCATAATCATACCATAATCATACCATAATCATACCATAATCATACAAAAATCATGTCATTGTCATACCATAATCATACCATAATCATGCCATAATCATGTCATTGTCATACCATAATCATACCATAATCATACCATAATCATACCACAATCATGCCATAATCATACCATAATCATACCATAATCATATATAATCATGATAATCATAATCATCATACCATAATCATACCATAATCATGCCATAATCATACCATAATCATACCATAATCATACCATAATCATGCCATAATCATACCATAATCATACCATAATCATACCACAATCATACCATAATCATACCACAATCATACCATAATCATACCATAATCATACCATAATCATACCATAATCATACCATAATCATACCACAATCATGCAATAATCATACCATAATCATACCATAATCATACCATAATCATACCACAATCATGCCATAATCATACCATAATCATACCATAATCATACCATAATCATGCCATGATCATACCATAATCATGTCATTGTCATACCATAATCATACCATAATCATACCATAATCATGCCATAATCATACCATAATCATGCCATAATCATAGCATAATCATACCATAATCATGCCATAATCATGCCATAATCATACAATAGTCATACAATAATCATACCATAATCATGCCATAATCATGCCATAATCATGCCATATTCATACCATAATCATGCCATAATCATACCATAATCATGCCATAATCATACCATAATCATGCCACAATCATGTCATAGTCATACCATAATCATACCATAATCATACCATAATCATACCATAATCATCCCATAATCATACAATAGTCATACCATAATCATACCATAATCATGCCATAATCATGCCATAATCATACAATAGTCATACCATAATCATACCATAATCATGCCATATTCATGCCATAATCATATCATAATCATGCCATAATCATACCATAATCATGCCATAATCATACCATAATCATGCCACAATCATGTCATTGTCATACCATAATCATACCACAATCATGCCATAATCATACCATAATCATACCATAATCATACCATAATCATACCATAATCATACCATATTCATACCATAATCATACCATATTCATACCATAATCATACCATAATCATACCATAATCATGCCATAATCATACCATAATCATACCATAATCATACCATAATCATACCATAATCATGCCATAATCATGCCATGATCATACCATAATCATCCCATAATCATCCCATTGTCATACCATAATCATACCATAATCATACCATAATCCTGCCATAATCATACCATAATCATACCATAATCATACCATAATCATACCATAGTCATACCATAATCCTACCATAATCATACCATAATCATGCCATAATCAAGCCATAATCATACCATAATCATGCCATAATCATGCCATAATCATGCCACAATCATGCCACAATCATGTCATTGTCATACCATAATCATGCCATAGTCATACCATAATCATACCATAATCAATCCATAATCATGCCATAATCATATCATAATCATACCATAATCATGCTATAATCATACCCTAGTCATGCCATAATTATGCTATAATCATGCTATAATCATGCTATAATCATACTATAATCATACCATAATCCTACCATAATCCTACCATAATCATGCCATAATCATGCTATAGTCACCTACAGAGCTCCTGGCAGAAAGATATGTGACCTTTTAACCAGTTGTCCCCCTTCAAAAAGTCCACGCCATGCTGTAATGGTCATTGTGTATGCCCACAGCCGTTCGTTACATTGTACTGCTAATCGTTTTGATTTGTTTACGAAAGTTAGATGCAAACCTCGCGACATTAAGGATCTTCATCATCACCCAAACCACTTCTGCTGTTAAGCTGCGTGGGGAGGAAAATGTGCGATCCAGTGCACGTTGGCTGCCACTGGCTATTGTCATGCCGTTAAGGCGTAGTGTCTTTAATGTTGTTGATCGTGATTAGAGTGCAATATATAAGCAACATTTACAAGTACTGGCCTGTACCAAGCGATTTCATGCATAATAATGTCATATTTTGGTCACATTAAAAGACACAACAGTATTGTAAAGATCATCCTAGAGGGAAAGGTTCAAGGTATGCGAGCAAGAGGCAGACAGCGTTACAAGTGGGAAGATAACATCAAGAGATGGACGAACAGCAGTATGAGTGAGTGTACATCAAGAGCAAGAGACAGGGCTTGTTGGAGATCCATTGCAGCCAACCTTTATTGTGGAGACGGCACCTGATTGATTGATTGAATGTAATAGTTATATCATATTGGTATGACTGCCACTGGCTATTGTCATGTATAAAGGTGTAGAGTTTCTTTAGTGATGTCGATCTAGTTTTCGCGGCCGTCCTCTTGCTCTTGAAGCTGATCCTCTGAGATGTAGTTCTTGTGATGGTATTTTATCTCTCTGCATTCTAACGAGATGGCCAAACCACTTGATCTGCTGTTTCTCGATGAATCAAGTACAAGGTGCCGTTCCCACAATATGTCTGAGCGTTTCATTATTTATTCGATCTCGTATGGTTAGGTTGGCTGCTTTTCTCAGGCACCTCATCTCGCCGGTGGTGATTTTGTGCATTTTGTAAGCTTTAGATAGTGTACATGTTTGACACTGGTAGCCTAATGTTGGAATGATTATGCTGTTTATAATATGTCTTTTTGCACTCATAATTATATTCGGATGTGCTGATAACGGTGATAGTTGGTATAAAAGTGCTTTCTGACAAGTGGTTTCTATTTCCCTGTCAGTTCTGCCATCTTAAGTAAGTTATTCCCCTAATGCTGAGTTCCAGGCTAGAGCAGTCATCGCCGACATAATACTGTCACAAGTGACAGTTATCAGTTCTGACACACAACCTCATGATGTCCTACTGGACCCCCACACCCCTTCTCCCATTCACCCTCTACTGGACCCCCATACCCCTTCTCCCATCCACTCTCTACTGGACCCCCACACCCCTTCTCCCATTCACCCTCTACTGGACCCCCACACCCCTTCTCCCATTCACCCTCTACTGGACCCCCAAACCCCTTCTCCCATCCACTCTCTACTGGACCCCCACACATCTTCTCACAGCCACGCCCCCTCCCACCCCCCCCCCAAATGACTAGGAACCTTAAGAGCAACAGACTTACCTCATTAAAATAATCAGTTTGGGGATGCTACCAAGTGTCGTGACCAACAGTCGGAGACCCCCGGATATGACGTAACCATACATATGTGAACACCCGTAATCACAGACTCCTATTGCAGCCAAGCCTCCCAGAACGCAAGAACAGTTTTGGTAGATCTGTGTACACAGAACAGGAGTTAAAAAATTCAATACGATCTTCAGGATCATCCATACATTCTTACAAAATGGCTGGGCAAATAAATGCATGAATTAATTATCAAATAAATAAATGAATGAAAAAGACTACGAATGCGATGGAGACAACTTATTCTGTTCTTGACACATGTCACATAAGATTTAGCGTTGTATTCTTTCCACCCGTTCAGTTATGTACAATCCTTACAGTGTCAAACACTGTCCTCTCTCATCAATGTTCATGTTAACATTGTATTTCTCCCATCTGATCAGTTATGTTCAATCCTTACAGTGTCAAACACTGTCCTCTCTCATCAATGTTCATGTTAACATTGTATTCCTCCCATCTGATCAGTTATGTTCAATCCTTACAGTGTCAAACACTGTCCTCTCATCAATGTTCATGTTAACATTGTATTTCTCCCATCCGTTCGGTTATGTTCAATCCTTACAGTGTCAAACACTGTCCTCTCTCATCAATGTTCATGTTAACATTGTATTCCTCCCATCTGATCAGTTATGTTCAATCCTTACAGTGTCAAACACTGTTGTCCTCTTTCATCAATGTGCATGTTAACATTGTATTCCTCCCATCCGTTCAGTTATGTTCAATCGTTACAGTGTCAAACACTGTTGTCCTCTTTCATCAATGTTCATGTTAACATTGTAATCCTCCCATCCGTTCAGTTATGTTCAATCCTTACAGTGTCAAAGACTGTCCTCTCTCATCAATGTTCATGTTAACATTGTATTCCTCCCATCTGATCAGTTATGTTCAATCCTTACAGTGTCAAACACTGTCCTCTCATCAATGTTCATGTTAACATTGTATTTCTCCCATCCGTTCGGTTATGTTCAATCCTTACAGTGTCAAACACTGTCCTCTCTCATCAATGTTCATGTTAACATTGTATTCCTCCCATCTGATCAGTTATGTTCAATCCTTACAGTGTCAAACACTGTTGTCCTCTTTCATCAATGTGCATGTTAACATTGTATTCCTCCCATCCGTTCAGTTATGTTCAATCGTTACAGTGTCAAACACTGTTGTCCTCTTTCATCAATGTTCATGTTAACATTGTATTCCTCCCATCCGTTCAGTTATGTTCAATCCTTACAGTGTCAAACACTGTCCTCTCTCATCAATGTTCATGTTAACATTGTATTCCTCCCATCTGATCAGTTATGTTCAATCCTTACAGTGTCAAACACTGTTGTCCTCTTTCATCAATGTGCATGTTAACATTGTATTCCTCCCATCCGTTCAGTTATGTTCAATCGTTACAGTGTCAAACACTGTTGTCCTCTTTCATCAATGTTCATGTTAACATTGTATTCCTCCCATCCGTTCAGTTATGTTCAATCCTTACAGTGTCAAACACTGTCCTCTCTCATCAATGTTCATGTTAACATTGTATTCCTCCCATCTGATCAGTTATGTTCAATCCTTACAGTCCTCAAAAACACTGTTGTCCTCTTTCATCAATGTTCATGTTAACATTGTATTCCTCCCATCCGTTCAGTTATGTTCAATCGTTACAGTGTCAAACATGTCCTCTCTCATCAATTTCATGTTTACATTGTATTCCTCCCCATCTGATCAGTTATGTTCAATCCTTACAGTGTCAAACACACTGTGTCCTCTTTCTCATCAATGTTCATGTTAACATTGTATTCCTCCCATCCGTTCAGTTATGTTCAATCGTTACAGTGTCAAACACTGTTGTCCTCTTTCATCAATGTGCATGTTAACATTGTATTCCTCCCATCCGTTCAGTTATGTTCAATCGTTACAGTGTCAAACACTGTTGTCCTCTTTCATCAATGTTCATGTTAACATTGTATTCCTCCCATCCGTTCAGTTATGTTCAATCGTTACAGTGTCAAACACTGTTGTCCTCTTTCATCAATGTTCATGTTAACATTGTATTCCTCCCATCCGTTCAGTTATGTTCAATCCTTACAGTGTCAAACACTGTCCTCTCATCAATGTTCATGTTAACATTGTATTCCTCCCATCCGTTCAGTTATGTTCAATCCTTACAGTGTCAAACACTGTCCTCTCTCATCAATGACCATGTTAACATTGTATTCCTCCCATCCGATCAGTTATGTTCAATCCTTACAGTGTCAAACACTGTCCTCTCATCAATGACCATGTTAACATTGTATTCCTCCCATCCGATCAGTTATGTTCAATCCTTACAGTGTCAAACACTGTCCTCTCATCAATGACCATGTTAACATTGTATTCCTCCCATCCGTTGAGTTATGCGCAATCCTTACAGTGTCAAACACTGGTGTCCTCTTTCATCAATGTTCATGTTAACATTGTATTCTCCCATCCGTTCAGTTATGTTCAATCGTTACAGTGTCAAACACTGTTGTCCTCTTTCATCAATGTGCATGTTAACATTGTATTCCTCCCATCCGTTCAGTTATGTTCAATCGTTACAGTGTCAAACACTGTTGTCCTCTTTCATCAATGTTCATGTTAACATTGTATTCCTCCCATCCGTTCAGTTATGTTCAATCCTTACAGTGTCAAACACTGTTGTCCTCTTTCATCAATGTTCATGTTAACATTGTATTCCTCCCATCCGTTCAGTTATGTTCAATCGTTACAGTGTCAAACACTGTCCTCTCTCATCAATGTTCATGTTAACATTGTATTCCTCCCATCTGATCAGTTATGTTCAATCCTTACAGTGTCAAACACTGTCCTCTCTCATCAATGACCATGTTAACATTGTATTCCTCCCATCCGATCAGTTATGTTCAATCCTTACAGTGTCAAACACTGTTGTCCTCTTTCATCAATGTTCATGTTAACATTGTATTCCTCCCATCCGTTCAGTTATGTTCAATCCTTACAGTGTCAAACACTGTTGTCCTCTTTCATCAATGTGCATGTTAACATTGTATTCCTCCCATCTGATCAGTTATGTTCAATCCTTACAGTGTCAAACACTGTTGTCCTCTTTCATCAATGTGCATGTTAACATTGTATTCCTCCCATCCGTTCAGTTATGTTCAATCGTTACAGTGTCAAACACTGTTGTCCTCTTTCATCAATGTTCATGTTAACATTGTATTCCTCCCATCCGTTCAGTTATGTTCAATCCTTACAGTGTCAAACACTGTCCTCTCTCATCAATGTTCATGTTAACATTGTATTCCTCCCATCTGTTCAGTTATGTTCAATCCTTACAGTGTCAAACACTGTTGTCCTCTTCATCAATGTTCATGTTAACATTGTATTCCTCCCATCCGTTCAGTTTATGTTCAATCGTTACAGTGTCAAACACTGTTGTCCTCTTTCATCAATGTTCATGTTAACATTGTATTCCTCCCATCCGTTCAGTTATGTTCAATCCTTACAGTGTCAAACACTGTTGTCCTCTCTCATCAATGTGCATGTTAACATTGTATTCCTCCCATCTGATCAGTTATGTTCAATCCTTTACAGTGTCAAACACTGTTGTCCTCTTTCATCAATGTGCATGTTAACATTGTATTCCTCCCATCCGTTCAGTTATGTTCAATCGTTACAGTGTCAAACACTGTTGTCCCTCTTTCATCAATGTGCATGTTAACATTGTATTCCTCCCATCTGATCAGTTTATGTTCAATCCTTACAGTGTCAAACACTGTTGTCC